GTTGTTGCCTGCCCGCGCAGGCCCGAGCGAGAAGATGAGCGGCCAGATGGGGCTTTCGGAGAGGTAGAAGAGCGTGATGGGGATGAGGGGCAGGTTGGGGGTTGGTGCGGCGTTGGGTGGGGGTGGTGGCGCGCGGGATGACGGCCGTGGTGAGCGCGGAGACGGCGGCCGTGAGCGTGCAGAGGAGGAGGAGGGTTCGCGGGGTGGGGAGGTAACGGAGGAGGTGGGAGGGGGAAGGGCGGTGGGGTTGGGAGAGGTGGGCGCGTGCCAGACAGAGGAAGCCGGCTAGGAAGCGGGAGAGGGCAAAGGCGGTGTGTGCGATCAGGAGGTAGTTGGGGAGGGAGAGGGCGAGGCCGGTGGAGGGGTCGAGGCTGGTTTCGGGGGCGGCGAGCGCGGCGCTGGGGTTGGTGGTGAAGGAGGTGATGAGCTGCTCGACGAAGAGGGACATGTTTTCTTGGGCGGACACGTAGCACCATTGGGCGAACACGGCGAGGCCGACGGTCCAGGTGCGGAGAGAGATGTTGCCGATGGACTTTTGGGCGGGGTCGACTGGGGAGCGGGAGGCTAGCTCGGCCAGCTCGGCGTCGCTTACTTCGGGCAGCGGCATGTAGTAGAAGAGGAGGGCGAGGAGGACCGAGAGGAGCGTGACGGAGAGGTAGGTCCATTGCACGTCGATCAGCGTGGTGGAGTTGACGGTGCCGGCGGGGCCCTCGAGGCGTCCGACGAAGAAGACGCGGTCCGCGAGCAGGCCGCTCAGCACGCTGCCGACGCCCTGGACGCCCTGGGCGAGGAGCAGACGCGCATCGGCGTACTCGGGCGGGCCGCACAGCACCAGAAAGGGGTTGGCGGCCGTCTCGAGCACGGCCAGCCCGAAGCCAACCACCAAAAGTACTCGCCATGAACCCACGGTACGCGCCCACCACCGCCCGGGCCAGAACATGATCGTACCAGCGCCATAGATCAACAACCCCACCATAAGCGTCGCGTTAAACCCACCCACCGACTCATCCCCGGCCCTCTTCCCCCTCCTCCTCCTCACACTCACCCTTCTCGCCCTCTTCCGCCTCCTCTCCCTATCCCCCCCATTTCCACCATCCCCCCCCCTCCTCGTCCGATGATGTTCATCATGCCTGAGCAACCACCCCCCGACCACCAACGGCCCCAACAAATACCCGCCGCCGAAATACACCGCCGTCAGGCTGAGCACCTGTGCGCGCGAAATGTGTGCCACCACGGCCACCGCGCCGTTGAGCGTGTTGAGCAGGCCGTACGAGAAGCCCCAGAGGAAGAAGAGGATGCTGGCGAAGGCGTTGTAGCGGAGGGATTCGCGCGGGGTGGTGGTGAGGAGGTTTTCGGGGCGGCGGAGGGTGATGAAGGTGGGGGCGTGGTGGTGGTGGTGGTGGTGGTGGAGGGAGCTGCGGTGGGAGTTGCTGCGGCGGGTGAGGTCGGGGGTGGTGGTGCTACTGCTGGTGGTGGGGATGGGAGGGGTGGTGGTGGAGAGGAAGTCGCGGATGGAGATGTCGTCCGAGGCGGAGGCGGGGGTGGGCGCGTCGTTGTCGGCGGCGGGCGGGGTGAGGGAGAGGGTGGGTGCTGGGGGGGCGAGGCCGGTGCTGGCGAGCATGGCGCCGATGGACGCGCCGCCGCGGCGCTGGTGCTCGTCCTTGCTGGTGCTGGTGCTGCTGCTGGTGCCGGTGGCGCGGGTGCTGCTGCGCAGGGTGCCGTCCGGGTCGACGAGCATGGCCGGCAGGATGCGGATGATGAGTGGTTTGAGGGTCGGGATGCAGGCGCAGATGATGCCCACGTTGACCTCAACGGCCGACCACATCAGCGAGAGGGAGGCGTTCCACGAGAAGCCGGCGCTGCGGCCGAAGCTGGCCATGGGGTCGGTCGAGGCGGTCGTCGGGATGTGGTCGATGGCTCGCTGGAGGTAGTAGATGCGGACGACGTCGACGATGGTCACGAAGATGCCGAGCGCGAAGGTCATGACCAGGATCGCCTTTTGGCGCGGGGGCAGCCGCATGCCGGTGAGGACGGGGATGGGCAGGGCGAGGATGGCGAGGTCGGTGGTGATGTTGACCGGGGCCGAGCAGATGAACTCGGTGAGCAGCGGGATGCAACGGGCGGCCTTCACGCTGAGGTCCCAGGCCGCATCGGTCGGGTGGCATTGGAAGATGTTCATGAAGGTCAGGATGGTCCCGGCAACGTTGACGATGCCCAGGACGGCCCACGATGCCAGGCGGAGGACCTTCAGCGTATTCTTGGACAGACGCAGGTAGAAGATGAGAATGGACGTTTTGGTCGCCATCAAGGCCGGGTTCTAAACATGGGTCATTAGACTGAAAACCAAAAGCGGGTTCGGGGATACGCACGTAGAGGATAGAAAAGACATATTCAGCCATCCTCAAACCGGCCTCCTTGTCGGGTTCGATATCTTCATCATGCCTCCCCAGGCCGTGCGTGGTGCCCAGGTCGATACTCACACTCAGAAACACGGCGATGAGCCAGGCCAGCACGATCATGTAGTCGTCCCAGGCGGTCCGGCGGACGATGCCGACGCGGGACACCATGCGGGCGGCGACGAACACGGTCGAGAGGGCCAGCGTCGCCGTCGTCACGGCGAACACGACCGGACCCCTGTCGGGGAAGCCATCGTCGTCGGCTTCCCCTGTCCCCTCACCAGACATGATGGGCTAAAGATGGATGCGTGCGATGATGTGTGTCGTTGTATGGCCTTGTATGTCGCTGCGTGTCAGATCAGTTAGGACTCCTCTGGGGCCGTCGCCAGGCCCTGTCCTCTCGAAGCTCGGGGACGGCTCGGCCGGATAGTAAGACGGTGTTCTGGTGGCGGTATATGGCTGGTCCCGAGGCCATCGCTAAGAGGACGAAGTGCTATCTAAAGTGCTCGGGGACACCGAGCTGGTGGCTGCGCTATTGAGGCAATATTGGGCACGATAATGAGATGGTCGGTCTGTGTCCGACCGTCTGGTGTATGGCAGCTGAATCTTGGGGGCGTTTCTGATGAGATGAAACTTCGAACACGGTCTTTCACGCCATTTCATGACATTTGATGGTGGATGTCATGAGTCAGGAGGTGGGCACCCCTGAGCTTTGGAAGGTGTGGATTGAGTGGCACTGTGAGCGGAAAGGCGAAGAAGACTTTGTAGGATTGATTGCCCTTGTATCCTGTAAAGATGAACTGAAGGATGGCAGAGGCTGTGCAAGAGACTGGCATGGACAAGGAGACTTGGCCGAGTGAATCCTCCCCAACCTTGACCCTGCCTCCCCAACTTTGCTGACTTCCATGTTTCCTAACTCACCGCTTTCCAGCGTTGCATTGAGCTTCCATCTCCACGATAAAATGGGCCACCTAGGACATGCCGAGCCTGCGAAGCTGCAGAGTAAGCTCAGGCAGAAAATGACCGAATTGAACACTGGCGAAGTGGGCTCTTTTCACTGGATGGCAATGACTTGCCAGAAATCCCTCGTCTATTTTTGATCGACGGAAAGGGCAAGCAGTCTCGAGGCACTGCAAGCCACTTGCTACAGCACACGCTTTGTTGAAGTGCCCCGCCAGCCGCGAAGCCAAGAGCCAAGAAGCCAAGCAACCAGTCCGTCCGATGACATCGCCAGCCAGGCCCCTATCCAATCACAGCGGGCGCCATTGCGAACTCCCCCTGGCCCCTTAGCCCTTGTTCCCCTCGTGTCGTTCGTTCACGGCCAAGGCACACAGGCATCTTGGCATCGGTACGTACTTGTACGAGCGGGATGATGGATTCCATCTGAAGAGGGGTTAAGGGACCGAGGGGTCGGTGCCGGGACCTGTGGGGGAACCCCTGGCCATTGATGGATCCCGGACACTACCGGCGTCGGCTCTCGCGATCACTGGCATGGTGAGAGGTCTCCCATTCAGATCCTAGCAGCCGTAAATGTACAAAGTGTTAGATTCTTGACTTACAAAGCCCCTTTCCAAACAATCAAGCTTCCGTCGCCCGATCCCTCTCCCTCTCGTCAACCTCCTCCTCAGATCCCCCATTACCCTTCGTCTCTGCCGCCTTCCACCCCGTCCCTGCCTGCATGACCAACACCAACACGCACATGACGGCGGCCGACTTGTACAGCACCTCCAAGGCCCGTTCGTATCCAACCACGGCGACCACCCGCTCGGCTGCGCTCAGAACCCCGTGCTTCCACACCACGGCGGGGCTGCCAATGAGCACGGTAATCAATTTCTCCCTCGCCTTGTCCAGCCCCTCGCCACCATCCAATTTCTCGAACCCAGCCACAAGGGCATCCCGTAGCGTCCGCGTAAATACACCGCCGCCAATGGTCGTGCCAAAACTGCCGGCAAACCCGCGGAAAGGTGGACAACAACCCAGTGACGATAAAGTGCACATCGGGGCTGGACAAATACAGCAGATGCGCCAGAGTGTAGTTAAGCGCTGCGCCGGTGCACAGCCCGTTGACAAAGACAACAGTGACGTACAGCCAGATGGGCGTAGCCGCGTTGCCCACGAACGCGAGCACAAATAGGGTCATGGAGAACAGGGCCAGTGTCAGGAGTCCGGGGAACCAGAAGGACCCGGCGTGGCGGATATGCAAGGCACCGACGAGCAGGCCGCCGATGCCGAAGCCGGCGTTGGTGGGGATGAGAATGGAACCTGCAAGGGCGGGCGACAGGCCGCGCACAGCGAGGACAAAAATGGGGGCGTAGAAGAGCACCGTCCACCGGGCGGCCATGAAGCCGAGCTGGGAAAAGCATGACAACAGGACACCGCGGGACTTGAGCACGGTTAGGGGGAGAACCGGGTTCTTGGCGCGGGACTCGACGGCGAGGAAGATAGCGAGGGTGATTAGGGAGAGGCCGATGGGGAGCGGTTGGATGGTCCCGGAGAGGCCGTAGAGAAAGAGGACGATGGTGACGGTCTAGGCAGTTAGTGTGGCTGCCTTGGGGAGATTAGGGAATGGGTATTGTGAGGCCATACCAAAGATACGGCGCCAGCGTAATCAAGACCGGCGAGCTTCTGCAGCGTTGTCTTATCCTTGGTGTTTTCATCAGCGGTGAAAGGGGGTATGCTAAGGCTGACACCGAGACCAGCAAGGGCCGCCATTGGGGCTTGGGCTCCGAACAGGAGTCGCTGTAAATGGTTAAATACATTGTCGTCGTATAAGCAGTATACGGAGTGTTGCTTACCCATCCCAGTACTGGCAGCAAGGCGCCAAACACCACGGCGCCGGCCGACACACCGAGTGTGAACCCCTGAGCCGCTGTTAGCTTAGATACATCAGTAGTGTCACGTAGCACCCACAGCGTTGGTCAAGCCGATCCACAGCCCTCTCCGCTTCTTCGAGGTGAGCTGGATGACGAGAATCATGCACAACGTCATGATGCCTCCGCTGCCGACGCCCAGCACGACCCTCCCGAGGATGAACACGGCAAAGGTCGGCGCCACAGCGGTCACCAGAGCGCCCACCGAGAAACACCCCGAGGCTAGCAAGACCATGGTGGCCGGCGAGAAAATCATGGCTAGCCGCCCGGCGAGTGGGGCCACCGAGGACATGCTGATCATGTAGGCGCTGGTGAACCACATGGCCGACTCGTAGGCATCTAGGTCCGCGGCAATGGTTGACTGGGTGGTCGAGATGCCACTCATGTTGCTGGCTGCATCGGGTTAGTATTCGTGCAGCAAACGGCTTGGATTGTTTGTTTGTGCTGCGGTAACATGGCACATAAACTCACCCTGCAGGAAGATGAGAGCCCACATGCTGAACACGATGCAGGTTGTCCGTTTCCAGCCGAGCGGTGGCTGCTCCGGGCCGGGGCCGGGCTGCCGATCGCTTGCGGGTGAGCCATCCCGGGCGGTTACGAAGCTGGACTCGGAACGGAGAAGGGGTGTGTTCTCGGCCACGGTTGGTGAAGTTGCCGAGCTGTCGTTGTCGCCGTGCCGCCGCGTGTTGAAGGGGGTTGTCATGGCTCAGCGAGTGTAGGGTTTACATTCGACTCAATTGTTCCGAGCGCGCCATACAAGGTCAATTGAGACAGGGTGTCTCGGATATTCAATGACGATGAGAGATCCGGATGTTTCACATTTCTTTTTTTTTTTTTTTTTGTTCAAATCCGGAGACTTTAATTGATTTGTAAGTCGAACCGGGGCAGGTGGAGGATCGTTCTGTCCGCGCCTTCCTCGGTTCAATGGGACCTACAAAATACTTGCTGCTTGTTAGCAACTGGGAGCCATTGATTCAAAATATCCAGTTGATGCTAGCCCGGTTGCAATTCCGACCTCGGCCGTGCCATGCCTTACAGATCATAACCTACAAGCCCAAAGGAACAGGATGAAGTCAGCAGGTAATCAAATTACCTACTATAACCCTAACCCTTTTACACAATTTTACATTTCTTCCCCCACCATGCGATCTCAGTGCCGAGGGGAGCCCCTCCATGATATCGAACTCACTCACAACTCACTCCTAACCCGCCATCCACAACCCCAGCTGGGCACTCAACATCACCACTCAACCAACACCACCACCACCACCACCACCACCACCACCACCACCACCACCATGCCCCTCCAAGACACCTATACCCTCCCCGCCGCCGCAGACATGCACGTGCACCTGCGCAACGCCCCGGGGCCCATCGCCGCCCTAGCCACCCCGACCATCCGCAAGGCCGGCATCGACACCGTCTTTGTCATGCCCAACCTGGCGCCCCGCCCTGTCGTGTCCGTCGCCGAGGCCCTCGCCTACAAGGAGGCTCTGCAGCAGCTCGACGGCGAGGTGAATTATCTCATGTCGCTGTACTTGCATGAGTTGGTTACGCCGGAGGTTATTCGGGAGGGGAGGGGGAAGGGGATTGCGGGGGTGAAGGTTAGTTCATTTTTAATTTTCTTGTTTTGTTTGTTGACTTAGTGATCGGGGAAAAGGGGCTGACCAAGGATAGGCCTACCCCCGCGGTGCAACCACCAACTCGCAGTGGGGCGTCGTGTCGTTTGATCCCTTCCATGACGTGCTTAAGGCAATGGAGGAGGAGGGCGTTGTTCTGAACCTCCATGGCGAAGTCCCTAGCAGCGCTGCCGATGGCGTGACGGTCATGAACGCCGAGATTAGGTTCTTGCCGGTGCTGAAGGGGCTGGTGGAGAAGTACCCCAAGCTCAAGATCGTGTTGGAGCACTGCACCTCGGCCGATGCGGTTGAAGCGGTCAAGTCGTTGCCTGAGAATGTCGTTGGGACGATTGTAGGTCTTCTCTCCTCCCGAGTGGCGAGATACTGGTGCTGACTCTGTAGACCGCGCATCATCTCTCCCTTCTGGTAGATGACTGGTCCGCCAAACGTGGTACGGTTCTTCTCCGCTCCTCCTTTCATACTATCAGCTAAAGGCACCCAGCACCACTACTGCAAACCCTCCGCCAAGTCCCCCGAGGACCGCCGGCGCCCTTCTCACGGCGGTTGTCACCAGCAACGGCAAGTTCTTCCTCGGCACCGATAGCGCCGGTACGTACTGCCCCCCACCTCCAGCCCTCACAAAGCTAACATAGCTCCCACTCCAGCCCGCGACATCACCTCCAAAAAAGGCAAAGGCAACACCGCAGCCGGCGTCTTCACCCAGCCCTACGCCCTCGGCTACGTATGTCCCCCCTCACCCCCTTTCCCTTTTGCTCTCCCCCCCCCCTCCCCAACCCCCCTACCCCCAAAACCAACCAACCTCCCACTAACCACCCCCCCTAAACCACCACAGGTCCTAACCGCCCTCGAAGAGGCCATCGCCCGGGGCGACATTCCGGCGGACTCGGTGACCGAGGACGCGCTCAAGGGCTTCCTGTCCGAGTACGGCCGGCAGTTCTACGGCGTGGCGCCCGCGACGCGCCAGATCCGCCTGACACGCGACGGCGCCCGCGTCGAGGAGTCGCTGCGCGGGGACGGGGTCGAGATCGTGCCGTTCCGCGCGGGCGAGTTGACGTGGGGTGTTGAGTGGTTGTAGTTGTGGAGGGGGATGGCTGTGAGGGGTTATGTTGTGGGGGGTTTGTTTGTAGGGGAGGGGGTGGTGGGTTGGTGATGTAGCTGAGGGGAGTGGGAGGTGAGGAAACAAAAGTCAGGCGAGCGTATGGGAATACCAATGGGGATTGTAAAATGGGTTGTGTTGGGGTCTAAAAGTATACCAGGCGAAGGGTGGCGGTAGTTGATAGAACGCACGGCCGAGGCTGTCTGTATAGAAATGACATTGGGATTTCATGCTTTTGCTTCCCTCCAACCTGTGATAGATATGATATGCTATGCCACCAAGAGCCCCTGATAATTTATATAAAATCAACTGGGCTGCTTTATCGCCTGCCACCCGAAAACGCCACCCACCAGTTAAATAATTTCCATCCCTATCATCCACAGCCACACATCTCTTCGTCGACTGGCAAATTTCCGCCTTCACAAGCATTTACTCCCTCACCCCAAACCCTACCTACACCCTCGAGATATTCGCACCCCCCGCAACCTGCCCCGACGCCTGTGTCTGTCCCTGAGCAGCAGCGGCACCTCCACCCGCACTCCCCGGCCCCGCCCTCTTCCGCTTCACCGGCTGATACACATCATTGAAATTCATCGACACACCCAAGAAGCGCATATCCACATCCGGCTGATAGGCCAAGTCGCCAAGCAGGATCTGCAAGCGGGCCTTGAAGCTGGCGCCGAGCTGGCGCAGACGGTCCTGCAGCGCGGGCAGCTCCGACCGGAGGCTGTCACCGCCGGCCCCGATGCCGCCGGCGGTTGAGTCGTCTTCGTCGCCGGTGATGAAGGGATCGTCACGGGGGAGGTCCGTGCCGGGGCCGGACAGCTTGGGTTTCTTGTTGGGTCGCATGTGCAGCATGCTGGCGGCGTCGGCTTCCTGCCGGCGGGTAAAGTCCGAGAGGGACCAGCTGTACAGCCCGTCGACGCAGTCGCGGTACGCGAGCATGGTGCGTAGGAGCTCGCTTAGTTGTATCATGTAGGAGTTGCGGTCTTCGGAGGCGGCGGCGCTCGCGGTGGTGGAGTTGGGGTCCTGTTGGGCGGCGGCTTCTTTGAGGGAGTCGTGGTATTGCCTGCGGCGGGCGCCGAGGAGGCCCTTGTGGGTGATGGAGGTCAGGTATTTTGTGTGTGCGGTGATGAGGTCGTCGAGCGTGCAGTCTTCCTTGCGGATGTTGGTTTGCAGCTCGGTCCAGCTGGATTCAATCACCTCGAAAAGGATGTAGTATTGCAGCTGGCCGACGAAGTGCACCATCTCGGCGAGCACGCCGCGGGTGCTCTTCCAGGTCAGGAGGACCTCTTCGTCTGAGGTCTGGAGAACACCGCGAGAACCGGTCATGCACTTGCGCCAAGTCGACGACAGGGCGAACTCGACGCGCTTGATGCGCCAGAGGAAGTTGAACACCTTGAGGTATTGGCGGTTACCCCATTCGGTCACAACCACGTCTACGGGGGCGTCGATCTTGTACTCGAGCGTGAAGCAGTCCCAGCCGATGTCGCCGTGGCTGAGCTGGAGCATGCGGGCATCGAGCCGCCTGAGGACTTCCTCGCTGTCGTACTGGGCGTTGGAGTCGCCGAACGCGTGTTCCGCCGGCAACTGGAAGCGATTGGCGGTGACATTATGACGAGCAAGGCCGATCGAGGGGCGTGGACGATCATTCCATGAGGAGGGCAATAAAGTCGCCCTGGCCGAGAAGAATGTAGTTCTTGAGCCCTTGCAGATGATCGAAGAGGCGGAAGCGGCTGCTCATGAGATGCATCAACCGCCGCATGGTTGTCTTGTATGCTTCATCAATCCAGGTTTCGAGTGTCGCAGTGTCGCCGTAGCTCAACGGCTTGGAAGACGTCTTGCTATAAGCATCGACCCATTGACTATCACCGCAGCTGTGTCGGATGAAGTTGAGCGACTTTCCGATTAGAAAGACCTTCTGGGCGAAGTCGGCTGTGGTGATGCTGGGGACCATGCGATCCACTACTTCGTACTTTGAGTTCCAGACACTGGCATGGCCCTTAGCCTTGGACTCCATGTGGTCTTCGTCGTTGGGGCTCTGCTCCCTCACAAAGAACTCTAGGTGCGGGTCTGATAGCTCTCCGTCGTAAACCCAACGTCGGAGGATGTCGTAGAATGGCCGTGTTACGTCTGCCAGAAGGCGCTCTGCAAATGCTGCCACTACGGGATCGCCGTGAGAGGTAGAGAACCCGTGTATCATGCTGATGATCTGCCCGCCGTGCTTGGTCTTGCTTTCTTCCGCGATCAGCGACATCAATCGCAAGCCCATGGTCGCCTCGCGAGTCCACACGACACAGCGTTTTAGGGTCACGCCGACCTTGCCAATACCACCGCGGGGGGCAGACTCATCGATGACCGAGAGTGCTCTTCGTATTTGCGCTTCGAGGGTCGCAACAAGGGTTAGGTACGTTCCGGAGCTCATTGTTAATGGCAGCTCGTAAGCTCTGCCCAAGTCAGACCCTTTGCTTGAGACTTGACAAAGTTTGCTAAACCCCTGTACAGTAACGACGGCTCGGCTAGAGTATGGAGGAGAGATATTATCGGCGGAGGGAGAGTAGGGGGTAGCTGTAATGCAGTTTCCTTGGCGAAAGGGAGGGTAGTGGACGACAGCCCTTGGAGTGTATAAGGCAAGTCTCTTAATAGGACCATCTCTGTCGGCTCAAATTCGTTCGAGTTGTCGGCTAGCAGGGTGGACTTTATGGAAACATCCCTTGGGGCTTTTTTTGGTGTGCTCTCGACGGCGGGTGGTGGTGTCGGCGGCGTCTCCTCGGGCTCAGGCTGGGTGCGCTTGGGTCTCTCTGTCGGTAGTTTCTTCAGATCTCCGGGCGCGAATGCATCGCTCACAGATCCTTCTTCTGGGGTGGCGACGACAGTTGGCGCCCTTGAGCGCTGCTGTTTTTCAACGGCTCGCGGGGGTGGTCGTTGCGCTAGAGGCTTTGGCGGACTCAAGGGCAGGGGTTCGTTGGGATCTGGAGAGTCGGAAAGCTGGAAGAGCAAATACAATATCGCCCATTTCTGGGTTAGGACTGGTAGTGACAGAAGCCTTGTGTAGAGGTTGGAAAACCTCAGCGCCTGGCTGGGGTTGCTCTTGGATCAGTTTGCGCTTGATCAAGTCCGAGGCATGGTTAACGTCGGAAGAGACAGCGGGAAAGGCCTTCATGCCTAGGGAGCGTGTTAGCGACGGTATAATGTGTATACTAGCAGCAGAAGGCCCTCACTGTTCAATGATATTCCGGACAAGCTCGAAGGATTCATCATGTTTTTCTTGCGCCGTCTGCTCGTCGTCGTTGGGGTTGATGGGCACCAAATGGGAGATCAGGCTGTCGATGGCATTCGAGATGTGGTTGCGATTATTGTTGGCCATGGCTGCATGATGCCGAGCTATAATGCAGGGTTATTCAGAATGGCTAGCTGAGCGGCGGTTTTATTTTATTGCATCGCTGTTCGTCGCCGTCGAGAGCTTAGGAGGCGGGGGACGCGACGCGACGAGGGGACAATGAGCATCAGGCCTGGGCCCAGAGGAGTAACGGACGCACGCACGAACGCCAAGAACGCCGGGCTTAGTGGTCGCTCACACTGCTCAGTTTGACCCTGTGGGGGACCGGTACCCCCCTACTCACACAACCTTTGGTGCTAACCCAAGTACCCCACGCTGCTGTCACCCGGATTCCCGCTGCAACGCCCGCTGCCCTTGTCGCTGGAAGCTCCATCAAAATTCGACCACCACCGAGCCCGCCTGCCCAAGACCGACCACCTCAGTCCGGCGAACTGACCATAATATCATCCATTCGTCCACGCTACCCTGCCCGATTCATCGATTTGAATCGGAAATTTTGATCGCATGAATGATACCTACATTTTGATGCGCAAATGAACGCGGCTTCGCCCCACGATTGTGCAGCATCTCGTGCGCGACGGTCCTGACGCCCTTCTTCCCGCGCTCTCGCCGACCGCATCCCGCGCCCGCTCTCGCTTATAACCGTGGCCGGCCGTACACCGCGAGCTCCCACCACTATGGTCGACATCAACCCCGCCGCCCTGAGTCGGCCATCTATCAGCCTCTCGACACCGGTTCTATCGAAGCAGTCTATCAATGTTTCGGTGCCGTCAATACACAAGGCACCCAAAACGAGCCAACTTATACCCGCCCGCATTGACCTCGAACCTATCTACACGGCGCTCAAGGCCAGCATCGGCACAGAGCAATGGCCCACCTACAAAGAATCTATAACCAATTTTCTGATCGGTACTGCTTTGCCGTCTAGCGCACATGTGCGCCAATTGGGAATGTGAATGTATAGGCTGACAAGTTTCGCGTAGGTCGCCTTAACCAGGCCGAGTTTAGCGAGCGCATCGAACCCATACTCGCCTCCCCCGATGGCTCCAAAGAACACCTTCACAACCAGCTTATCGCCGCCATATATGGCAATGTCACACGGGAGATGCCCGACCAGGGCCTTGCGCCTTGGGTCAGCACAAACGATAAGCCGTCGCCGGCGACCGGAAGCAAACCCGTGTCTGGGGATGCTGCCGAGCGGAGGTTAAAGGGGGAGGTCATGCAGCTCCCGGCGCGTGACAGGAGGCGCATCAAGGATCTTGCACACAACGACGTGAGCCAGGGCATGCGGTGGAGTATTGCAGAATCCATGCTGACGGCGTGCCTCAGTTTGATCCGTACGAGTCGCTCGCGAATATGTTCACGGACCAGGCCCGGATGCGACCCGCCAAGACGGCCGAGGTGCCTGCCAGTGCGGGCGGCGGCCTAAGCCGGATGAGTATGCACGCTACTCCCTGGCGATCGTTAAACCTAGCTGACGTCCTGGAGACTTTGACCTCGAAATTAGGAAACGCTACGCGCAACCATTGGCCGTCGAGTCGGGCGAGTTCCCCGACGTTAGCAATATCGAGGCGCGGATGCTACCTTTCTGTTACGAGGCAGGCCTCGCATCCGGACATGCGCCAGACGCAGCGCAGTTCATGTCGATCGCCACGAA